CCATGGCACTGAGCTTATTGAGAGTGAGCATAGGCGATAAGCCAGGCAGCTCTGGCCTAAGTAATCGGGACTGCAGAATAGGGCTCATTCCGAGTCTAGACAGAACCCACAGCAGACACCAGACAAATCAGTGCCGAAGACAGCACTGGAGGTGGCACCACATGCAGCACCAAAGAAACCCCACACCGAAATGCCTCTGCCCAAAGCACCATCCCTGACAGTACCAGCGGCATTGAGTACTGCACATTGAGTCTCAGCACCGCCACTGGAATGGGCACGGCACTGCACGTCCTCTTCAGCCTGCAGCTTATCGGTACTGCCATTCCTGTGCTCCTCGGTGCAGTCCAGCCATAACAACAAGAACGGCCATACTGGGTCAGACCAATGGTCCATCCAGCCCACTATCCTGTCTGTTGACAGTGGCCAATACCACATGCCCCGAGGGAGGGGAACACAACAGGTAATCCTCATGTGATCCCTCCCCGTCACCCACCTCCAGAGAAACAGAGGCTAGGGATACCATTCCTACCCATCCCGGCTAATAGCCATTGATGGACCTAAACTCCATGAATTTATCTAGCTCGTTTTGAACCTTGTTAAAAGTCCTAGCCTTTACCACATCCTCTGGCAAGGAGTTTCACAGGTTGTGCTCTGAGAGAAGAAAAACTTCCTTTTTAAAAGAGTAGCCCTGGCACAAAATTGAGACCCGTAAGAGGTACAGGAAAAACAGTACTGACTCTTATGCACACTGCAACCGCCTACATCCTCCTGCATTGTTCTTCTCCAATGGATAGAACCTGCTGATAACATCTGGCAAACCCCAGCGTCCATTACTCCCACCAATAAAAGGGCCGACCACAAATACTTTATAAAGCCCAAGAGTATAGACTTTCTTTTCACACACCCACCTCAAATTCCTTAGTGGTGGACTCAGTCAGGCACAGGACAAAATAACCCAGTATGAGTTCTGCTCCTCAGGACAGAGACCATAAAAGGTTGGACATTATGGGGCATAAGGTCTATTCCTCTGCCACCTTGATTATCAGAGCAGCAAACTACATGGCTATGCGGGCTGATTATGACCATTCTGATTATTCAAAACTCCAGAAGCTTATATAATTCCTTCTGGAGCATAAGAGGCTAATACTGCTAAATGTGATGCAGGAGGGCCACATCATCTCCCATATGGCATTACAATCTGCCATGGATGTGGGCCAATACAGCTGCCCGGGTCAGTATCAGCCATCGTTATGTGAAGGGCTTCATGGCTTCAGGCTTCTGGAGCACCCAGAGATCTCCAGCAGAAAGTCGAAGACCTTCCCTTCAACAAAACCACTCTATTTGTGGCCAAAACGTTTGAAATCCACTCATGCACAACCCTATGCACTCTGGGCATGTATGCATGCCCCCCCAACAAAACACTTACCAATGACCCAGAGAACTGTATTGACTATGGACAAGATACAACTTCCAACAGAAACACAGATCCCAGTGCTGCAGACCTCAGCACCAACAACAACTTTCAATATCCAACCTCCCTCATCAAAGCAACAGATTTGAAAGGTTGGTTGGGAGCTGGAAAGATGTCGCCACAACTGTTACACCACCAGCCAGACAGCTACAGTTCACCCACCGCCTCCTGCCCTTTTTACATCAATGGGCACAAATAATATCAGACAGATGGGTGCCAGAGCTCATCAAAGTGGGTTACTTCATCCCCTTCATCTCTATTCCCCTTCCCCATCTCCCTCCCCATCCTTCTTCAAGGACCACCTCACGAGACCCTCCTCAGCAGGAGGTTCTTCACCTTCTGGGTACCATAGAGCCAGTACTAATGGCTTTCCAAGGGAGAGGGTTTTTTTCAACGTACTTACTAAACCAGAAGAAGAATGGTGAGTGACCCATTTTAGATTTAAGAAGACTCAACAAGTATGTCACATACCAACGGTTCAAGATGGTAACACTAGCAATGATTGTTCCAGCACAAAACCAATGGGATTGGCCTAGGCTCTTGACCTTCAGGATGTGTATTTCCACATAATGATACATCCTTCCTACAGGCGCTTTCTACAGTTTACAGTGAGAAACCACCATTACCAATATTGAGTTCTTTCTTTTGGCCTCTCAATAGCTCCCAGAGCTTTTTCCAAGACTCTAGTGTTGTTATGGTGTACCTATATCATCAGGGAATCATAATATTCCAATACCTGGATGACTGCTTTATAAAAGGCACAGCCTTCCAGGAAATGCAAGACTTGGTCAGTGCTACCACCGATCTTTTACTCCAACTTGGTTTTCACATAAACTACTAAAAGTCCACGCTCCAAGCCACACAGACTCTGGAGTTTATAGGAACATACATCAACACCATCACAGCCAGGACAACTCTGCCCACTCACAGATTCGAGGCCCTCCTCAACCTCATAACAGTGGCATGTGCAACCTCCACTACAATAGTCTGCAAATGCCTCAAGATTCTGGTTCACATGGTTGCCACCATGATGTGGTCCAACTGGTCAGACTATACATGAGGTGTTTCCAGGCCTGGTTAGCCATTCTTTACACCCCCTCCAGGGATCCCATTTCCAAGACAGTCACTATCCTACCACGTGCCCTCAGTTCATTGGAATGGTGGACAGTTGACGAGTGGACCATTTCATCAGCTGACCCCAACAGTCACCATTACAATGGACACATCCTTTATGGAATGAGGAGCTCATCTCTGACCTCACACGGTACAAGGCAAATGGTCCCTCCATGAGCAAATGCTCATCAATCTGCTAGAACTCCCACTTTCTACACCATATAGGGCAAAAGACAATCAGTATCATGACAGACAATACAACTTGCATGTATTATATTAACCGACAGGGTTGGGCCTGGTTACCCTCCCTCTGTACGGAAGCCCTCAAATTATGGAACTGATGCTTTGCACACCAAATTACCCCCATAGCCATGTATCCTCCAGGGGTACTCAGTGTTACGGTGGACACTCTCGGCCGTATTTTTATGAACATCACAAATGGGAGATAGATGCCTAAGTCCTCAAACATGTTTTCCTTTGATGGGGACAACCAGACATAGACATCTTTGCAACCAGAGCCAATCGCAAGTGTCACCTTTATTGCTCCAGAGCAGCCCTGGGGAAGGATTCTCTGGGAGATACTTTTTCCCTTTGCTTTATGCATTCCCACCACTCCCCTTATTCCACAGAATTATCACTAAAATCAGAATAAAATGAGCCCATGTGGTCGATGAGCTTGTCGAACCGGAATAAAATGAGCTTGTCGAACCAGCTTGGTCAAAACAAACATGGTTCCCTTACCTGCACAGATTGGTGATAGCAAATCCGTTCATCTTTCCCCCGCAGCACAGTCTTCACAGTCAACATCATGTCAGAATCACACTAACTCCACCTCCATGTGTGGCTCCTTCATGGCTTCACAATCCCAAAAAACCTGTTCTGAACGAGTGAAACAGATATTAATCAATAGCAGGAGAGAGTCCACCAGAAAACCTTACCTTTACAAGTGGACCAGATTCTCTGACTGGCTCAAATGCAGTCATCCCATCCGTCCTGATACCATCCCTATCCCCATCATATTGGACTACCTATTGGAACTAAGGGAGTCGGGCCTCTTTTTTAATATGGTAAAGGTGCATATAGCAGCAATAGTGCCCTTTTACCGGACCACTGATTACAACTCTTTATTTTCAGACCCAATCACCAGACGATTCCTTACTGGTCTCCAAAATACTTTCCCATCGGTTCAGCCTCCAGTCCCCATTTGGCACCATAATCACATGCTCAAGAATTTGACTAAACCACCCTTCAAGCCTCTAGCAACTTGCTAATTGTTACACCTATCCATGAAAGTTGCTTTTCTGGTTTCCATAAACCTTTAGCAGGAGAGTGGGGGAGCTTGCAGCATTAATGGCAGAACCCCCTTACACAATATTCAATAAGGACAGAGTAACCCTTCAGCCTCATTCCAAATTCCTCCCGAAGGTCCCTTCTCTCTTTCATATTAATGAACTCATACACTTACCTGCATTCTTCCCCAAGCCACATGCTGATCCATCTCAAGCTGCATGGCATACCCTTGACATCTGCAGAGCACTCACATTCCACATAGATCGAACAAAATCATGGAGAAAATCGCCCAGATTCTTCCTGTCCTTCACTGAACATTCCAAGGGCCAAGCAGTCTCATCCCAGAGGATTTCCAACTGGATCTTATCATGTATCCACACATGCAATACCATCCACAACAAAAAAACACCTGACAATATCACCACCCACTCAACCTGGGCCGTGGCCTCCATAACTGCTTTCCTCCAAAATGTACCTCTAGTGGACATTTGCAAATCAGCCACCTGGTCATCAAACCGCATGTTTGTAAAACACTACCTGCTTATCTCGGTCATCACGTCATCTATGGCTGTTGGACAAGCAGTGTTAACCTCAGTGACCGGGACAGAGCTCTAAACCCGCCTCCACAATTCGACTACTGCTTTTTTAGTCATCCAGAGTCACCCAAGGGAACATCAGTCGAAGAAGAAAAGTGTTACCTTGTGCAGTAATGGGGGTTCTTCGAGATGTGTCCCCCCATGGATTCTCCACTACCCTTCCTGCTTTGGAGCCTTCTTGGTCCAGTGGCAAGGGTAGAGAAGGAACGGAGGAGACTGTGTCGCACACATGCCTAACTGACACCAATGGCATAAGGAAGTGCCAGCGTGCGTGCACAGTGCAGCAGGGATCTGCTAGAAAAATCTCCAGTCGCTGGCACGAGGACATACCAGCACCCAGAGTGGAGCACCCACAGGGATACACATCTCGAAGAACTTCCATTATTGCACAAGGTGAGTAATCCTCTTTTTTTCAAAGTGTCTGGATAGCCTGACTTAAATTTATTAGATGCATATCACCCTGATGTCTAAAAAATGTAAAAAATGCTGTTATATTACTATTAGAATTTATTTTAACAAACCTTTCACAGAATTAAATTTAACTTGTGAAGAAGATGAACTTACGAGGTCTGAAGAAAGCCAGAATAAACCTGTTTCTAATTCTCAGGTATAAACGCTATATTCTCTTCCACTCTTTCTCTTTGTTACAATTCTAGTTAGATAAGTAGTTCTATTTTCCCTTATAGTTCTTAGATAGTTTGTAGTTTTCCCCTTTTTTCCTTAAAAAAACCCTCCAAAACATTTTTAAAAAAGTTTGTTTCCCCCTTATCTTTATAGCTAGATAGGATGCCTGGCTCACCAGGTTTTAAACATTGTACTTCATGGAACAACACTATTCCTATCTCTGATGGGCATTCTCAATGTGTTCATTGTCTAGGAGAATCCCGTATCCCCCCATGAGTGTTCCCATTGAGCCACGCTCAGAGAGCGAGCTCACAGGGGTGGGGACCTATGCCTCAAACTGATATTGTTGAATAATCCCTTCGCCCAGCTTCCGACCTAGAGCCTGAATCTGAAAACTCAGCCAATGATGGAAAATAAATCTTCAAAAAAGTGCACTGTTCGGTGTCGCTGAAAGCTCCTCCAGCAAAGTGGCACTCTCTGACCACTTCAGTGCTGACTCCATCTGCTATGCTGCCTTTCAGCATGCATGATGCTCCGGGCGTCTCCAGCATCCCATACACTGTTATTAAAACCACTACACAATAACCCCATGCCAAGGCTATAGGCTTCAAATTTCCTGCCTCACATACTACGACATCTTCCAGGACCAATACTACTGTACCAACATTACAGGCACCACTCCTGACACCTACTGCTTCTTCTGCATCTGCCACTGGCACCATAGAGGCACTGACAACCTCCCCGTTGTGGTCGGCACCAATTTAATCCATAGCACTGCAGATAACTTTGGTGCAGCCTCTCACGGCACTGTCCATTCTGGCACCACAGTGCACTCACCATAGAGATCTCTTAGTCTCTTCAACTTTTAATTCTCTTTTTCTCAGCACCAACCTCTCACCAGGCACTCTGGCACTGCACCATCCTCTCTCCCCTGCTGAATTTTCCAGCAAGGAAGACAACGGTGTGCAAGTAGTCTCACCTCAGAATTCTACTCCCACTGGTCCATCCATTCTTTCAGTGTGTACTCGTCTCCCTGCTATTGGCAGCCATGGATGCCACCTCCCATGCCCTATCCAGGATACTGGAAATACTGCAATCCATGGCCACCCTTTACCAAGCACAGTATTACACCACAGGAGACATCCCCACTACCTCCATTTCCACCACCAAAACAGTATCAGGAAGAGGCAGACAATGGCCAGCCACAGACTTTGGCCCCTGCCACATCCCCAGATATCAACTCCTCCTACTACCCTGATAAAGCCATCGTGCCACCCCCTCCCACAACTGCTGATGACTTCACACACTTCCAAGACCTTTTTAAATGGGTAGGGGCAAAGCTCAGCATTACGTTGGAAGAGGTTGCGGAAAACCAGCACAACCTCACTGACATCTTACAATCAGTGACATCATCTAAGATTGCCTCACCAGTTAATCCAGCAGTAATGGACCCAGCCAAAACCATCCAGCAGATGCCTGCCACTGTAACACTTACCTGTAAGTGAGCGGGCAGGAAATATTATATCCTTCCTAGAGGCCCTGAGTTCCTCTTTACTTACCTTGCTCCCAACTCTCTGGTTGTGGAAGCTGCCCACCAGAAAAATAAGCAGCATTTTCCTTCCATACCTTCCAACTGTGACAGCAAAAGCCTTGACCTTTTTGGCCACTCCCCAAATTTGGGTGGCCAATTACATGGCCCTATTGAGTAAATATGACCACAAGAATTACTTCAAACTCAACTACCTTATTAACAACACCCCTGATGCAAAAAAAACAATAGTTCAGTGCTATTGTAGTTGTGGGCCACAGTCTCCTAAATGGCCTTGCAAGCCAGCTCTCAATGCCGTAGCTACAGCCACAAGATCCATGGCTAAGGCAGTTGTTATGAGGCAGACATCTTGATTCAACTCAGTGCCTTTCCACGAGAGATTCAATCAACTGCTGAGGACCTCCCATTCATTGGAGAGAAGTTATTCTCAGCTACCACCAACAAAATCCTATATACCATGAAGGACTCCAGAGCCACTCTATGAACCCTGGGTATCCATACACCGGCACCTAGGAGAAGACAGTATAGATATAAATCATATCCCAGACCACAATATCCTCGGTGCATCCAATAAAATCACAAGCAAGACCAACATCAACCTCTGCATAACAGGTTTCAGTGCCATTGCACACCTCCAAAAACATGCATCAGCCCCCTCAACCTAATAAGAAAATGTGAGTTTTGTCGAGGGTTTGGAAAACCACTCACTCTCACCAGCATCACCATCCTCCCCTAAGATGTTCAAATATTGTCTCCTCAAATTTTATCTTAGTTGGCAGCCCAGCTCATCAGATAGATGGTGTGGCGGGTTTGTCCCGGGCGCGAGTGTGCGTCCCCAAGTTCCGGGGAGCAGCCCTGCGAGCCCACCGCCTTAAAGTCTTCCCATGTGTCCTCACTGGGGCGTGAGCTCTCAGAGCCCCTGCCAAGGGGCCCTGGGGCCCTGCGAGCCCTTACCATCCTGGTGCCTCCCTGGGGAGCTCTCCAGCCCGCCCAGTCTGCGCCTAGTGGTTTGGTTCTTGTCGCCCTGGTCCTTTGCCCTTGTCGGAGCGGGTGGAGTATCCCTGTACGGGGGGCGTTAGGGGGACCCGGGCCCGTCCTCTCCACCAGGTCCCAGCCTGGGGCTCTAGGGGTTTGGGGTCACGACCCTTACCCAGCCGATGGATTCCCACCCCATAACATGTCAGCCTACGGGTGCCAAAAAGGCCCTGCCCCGGGCTGCTTCCTAACCACCCTGTGCTCCCCGGTCCTCTGGCTGTGGATCTCACCTCCTGGTCGGGGTCGCTCCTGTGGATTGCTCCCGGAGTCCAACGAGGAGCCTCCGCCGCCTGTCTCCAGCGGGGGGGGGGGAGGGGGGGGGAATCGCCTCCCCGGCGTCCCTCCCCCTGCTCTGCTGGGGAGCTGATTTTTAAACCCCCCGCCGGAGGGCACGCCGTCTTCAGTGTGGCTGCCAACCCACTACCAGGGCATTGGGGGCAGAGTCCCGTCCTGACGCCCCTGGCTTTGGGTGCCTATTGCCGCTGCGGTGCACCCGGCGGCCCCGTTCGCCACGGCTTCCCTGCCTCCGTCGAGCTTGGCAGTGGAGGCCGTGTCCTGGCCAGGGCCGGTCCGGAGAGCTCGGCCCGGCCTCCCCCCCGGGGTCGGCGCGGCAGCCTCCCCGGTCCTAGTGCGGGCCGGCGCTGGCCCGTCACAGATGGGTACTGCAGACAGTATGCTTAGTAGAAACTATGCCTTTTACTTCCATACCCTCTACCCTGTCCCTCTTCAGGGCCCACTCTCACTAGCTATTGTTCCAACAGTAGGTCCAACATCTCTTCTAAGCAGGCGTGATAGAACCAGTCCCTTCCCAATACATAGTAAAAGGCTTCTATTCTCATTTTATCATAGAGAAAAAAGTGGGGAATGGCACCCAGTCCTTGACTTGAGAACCCTTAACAAATGCATTAAAAACCAGAGGTTTAAGACAGTGACAGTCACCTCTATTATTGCAGCACTGGAACAGGGAGACTGGTCCTTATCCCTTGACTTACAAGATGCATATTTTCATGTTTCTGTTCATCCAGCTCACAGACACTTTCTCCAGTTTGTCTTAGGTTCCAGTCATTACCAATAGAGGGTACTACTCTTTGGTCTGTCTACTATTCTGGGAGTTTTTTTCCAAAATATTATCAATAGCTACACTATCTCAGGAAGCAAGGTGTTATTACTTTTCCTTATCTGGATGATTGTCTCCTGAAGGCACACTCCAGACTTGACGCCCAACACAGTACTTCCATCACGGTCAGCTGCTTCAGATCCCTCGGCCTACAAATAAGACAAAATCAACTCTTATTCCAACACAAACCTTACAGTTCATAGGAGCTCATCTAGACTCAACAACCATTACTGCTTCTCTCCCTCTTGACAAATTGTAACAAATAAGGACCTGGTCAACAAGCTATTATGCAGTCCTCAGGTAATGGTCCACGACTGTCTCCAACTATTGGGATATATGGCCACATGCAAGTCCATCGTACCAGATTCATAACTTTACATGAGTTGCTTTCAGGGCTTACTCAGCACAGTCTACAGACCAAACATACACTTTCTTTCCAAGCCCCTCTCCATCCTCTGTCAATAAAACACTCTTGTACTTGTAGACAATCGCCAAGAATCTTTGCTTGGGGTTCCCTTTCATTACTCAAAAATCCTCTGTGACCATGACCATAGATGCCACTCTTACAGGATGGGGAGCATGTCTGGCACAACGTATCACTCAGAAATGGTGGTCCAACACAGAAAGAGTAGTACATATAAACATTCTGGAGCTCCAAGGGATCCAATACACCTGCAGCTGATTCCTGTCCCTCATCACCAACAAACATGTCAGAATCTACCCATACAGTGTTGCCTCAATGTTTTACATAAACAGGCAAAGTGGGGCCTGTTCACACACACTCTGTACAGCATCTATGAGCCTGTGGAACTGGTGCCTCAAACACAAAATAACTATTAACTGCCTTTTACCTCCTGGGTGGACTCCAAAACAGGGATTGGCAAGGGATCTTTTGGAGATGTCCTTCTAATCAAATGGGACTCCCGCCTACTATATGCATTCTTACACATTCTTCTCCTAGTAGAGAAGATATGTACATAGTACAGAAAATATGGAGGGACAAAGCCATTGTCATACCAATAGTCCTGTCATGGCCCAGACTACCCTAGTACTCTTCCTGACCAGAATGTCAATCTAACCACCAGTTCTTCTCCCCTCCCATTCCTCTGACCTTTTACATCAACTTGGAATACAGATGTAGCAGCCCAGTCTATACATGCTCCACCTCAAGGCATGGTACCTCAATGGTTATCTGTTCAGGAGCTAAAATGTTCAGAACCTGACCAGCTATTACTACTACATAGCAGAGCTCCAACCACTTGCAAAACATAAATGCAAAAATGGGAGAGGTTTTCCCATTGGTGTGCTGACAAATGAACCCTCCCCCCAACTGTGGCACCTCTCCTTATGATTCTCGAGTACCTACTATACTTGAAACAATCATGCCTCTCTCTGAGCTCCATTAAAGTACACCTCTCTATGATGATAACGTTCCATATAAAAATAGATGGCCTATCAATAGTCTAAGAGAATTCTTATTTTGGAATAATGCTTATTTTCCATTTTAGATTGATCAGTTAGCAACTAAGACATCTGAACTTGATGTGTCGGAGGGTAGGACAAGAAGTGGAAAAACATTTCATATCAACACAGTCAGTATCCTTTTTTTTAACAACAATACAGACTGTAATAATGTGCTTAAATACAATTTACAGTCCTGGGTTGAAATTCTGATCCCTTTTGAAGTCAAAAGCAACTCCCATTAATTTCTCTGAGACGAGGATTCACTTCAGATTTTGTTTAGATCTTTTATTTGAGGAATATGAACAATACTTTGTATTCGGAAAGTCAAAAAGGAAACGCCTATTTCTAAAAATTACTTAAGTGTTTGGTTTTTAATTGTATAGTTTTAGAGGGATTCATGGGGATTTGTTTGTATTCTTTACTTGGCCGTGTTCTCTTCCAGTCTTATTCCATATACTGCAGTGGACCTATGTTAGGAGAGAACTTAATCCAGTGTATTGTTTCATATTTCATGAAATATTGAGCCAGAATTCTAATCACAGGTGTGTTTTGTACATATCTTGAAAAATCCATTATTGCTTATTCATATTTATGTGTGGTAGCTAAATATTTTAAATCCACTCCACCTACATGGTGCCTGAGAATTTGGGCTCTATGCAAATGGCACAGGAGTTGTGGTGGTGGGGCGGGGGGATTGAAAACCCCAAGCCAGCCTTAACCCAGTGTCGTGTGGTTTGATTTATTTTAGATCCAAGGGAAATCAGCACACTCCAGGGAGACTTAACCACTTTCTTATTTATTGCAATCTTTAAGTGATTAACATAGTTCTTTAAGTTTCATAAGCCTTAAAACTATTACTATACAATTTAAACCTTAAATACTGTAAATCCTAAAGCAACTAATACAGCGCAAAGCAATTCAAAAGCAATTAATAGAAGATCTACTATAATACCATGATAAAGCCTAGTTCACTTACACTTCATCCCTATGCTACCTATAGTACTATGCAGGAGGTTGGGGTTCCTTTGATTCCCACATGTCGGAACGCCATGCTCTGGTGTCGCTGGTGTGAAGGGCCTATTTACGTCTAGTTACATTGAGCAGGACCCGTGGGTCAATCCTGCTTATTCCCTCCCATCGCTTGCTCTTACGAAGTCCATTTTATAGCAAAGCAAGACTTGGTCATTCTAATAATATTTACCAAATAGTTACGTATTGCATAGGATACATAAAATGCCCAATACCCTATTTGGGGCACATCCTGCCACTCAGGATGTTGCTGCTATGTGCGTAGTTGACAGTTGTAGGGCTGCATCTAATTTTTGCTTACCAGAAAAGTACCACCAGTACAAGGTTGATTGTCGTGTGTTTTTGACATGGTCTCGTGTACTATGCTTAAACTGCATTGTTATTCAAAACATTCCTGCCTTCCAAACCTTGCCTGTGTGCTTACATGCACCAGACTTGAGACAGGCCTGGATTTTGCTTTTTAGAGATCCGCACTGTGTTCAAGGCAGACATCACCATTTATTACCAAGGAAGGGCCGCCCAGGGACATACTACAAAGCTGCTCTGTGACTGCTGTGCCTCTCCTCTCTCAGTGGCTTTGAATCTAGGGGCTGAAAAAGTAATCATAGCCCCCTGCACCAGTTTGTAAGGTTTAGGGCACCACTTGATCCACATAATCATGGATTCTTTGGCCCTTTTACTGGCTTGAATCCCTTGAAGCTTTCTGCTCTGGAGTACATGGGACTGGGATAGAAATGCTTTCCATGGTGAACAGGGAGTACATAATTATGCCTTAATAGCCACTTTACCCTTGGTCCTCTAAATAGCTCTTGTATATGGATTACTTTTCTTCATAAGGGCTTTGGGAGAAATGCTGCCAGTCTCATTAGATAAAGAAATAGCCTTCATCGCTTAGAGTGAAGAAAGGAAATTACATGTCATGACAGAAAAATCATGCCTTCCCTGTCCCAACTCTGAAAAGCTCTTCATTAATTTTTAACATAGGTTAGGGAACAGCAATAGCATTCACAATGTGCCACCCAATCGTTTTTCTTTGGATCAGTTTCAACTTTTGCAGTCTGAGGATGTGGCAAGGTGCTTGGAGGAGTGCAACCGACCACCTACTCGCTTGACCCCTGCCCTTCCTGGCTTATTAAATTGAGTCAAGAAGGGATGACTGGTTGGTTCCAGGGGATTATTAATGCACCATTTAGATTTAGGATGATTCCCACCTCCTTGAAAGAGGCGGTGATAAAGCCATTCCTTAAGAAGCCTTCCCTGGACCCAAGCAATATGAATAACTATTGCCCAGTTGCTAATATTCCTTACTTGGGCAAGGTACTCAAGTGGGCGATGGCATTGCAACTCTAAGCTTTCTTGGAAGAAACAGATTATCTAGAACCATTTCCATCTGGCTTGAGGCCTGATTTTGGAACAGAAACCACTTTGGTTGCCCTGGTAGATGACCTATACCGGGAGATAGACAGGGGGAGTACATTCCTGTTGATTCTCTTGGACCTCTCAGTGGTTTTTGATACCATCAATCATGATATCCTTCTGGAGCACCTGGTGGGGCTAGGTATCGGAGGTGCTGTCTTGCAGTGGTTCTGGTCCTACTTGTCAGGATGCTTTCAGAAGGTGGAGCTTGGGGGCTGCTGTTCGACCCCATGGCAATTGTGCTACGGGGTCTTGCAAAGTTCCATTTTGTCCCCTATGCTGTTAATATATACATGAAACCACTGGGAGAGATCGTAAAGAGATTTAAAGGACAGTGCCATCAATATGCAGATGACACTCAACTCGGTTTCTGTGACATTGGATCCAGTATGGCAGCAATCAATCTGAACCAGTGTCTGGAGGCAGTGATGAACTGGATGAGGTCAAATAAGCTGAAGCTGAATCCAGATAAGACTGAGGTCCTATGGATCAGGAAACCATCTGTCCGGGAATGTAGTGTGTTATCTGTTCTGAATGGGGTCACGCTCCCCCTGAAAGAACGGGTACGCAGCTTGAGTGTCCTCCTGGACCTTTTTTTAACATTTGAAAATCAGATTTTGTTGGTGGCCAGGAGTGCTTTTGGGCAGCTTCAGCTGATCCACCAGCTGTGACCCTTCCTAAAAAAGAATGACTTGGCTACAGCGATTCATGCTCTTGTCACATCCCGATTGGATTATTGTAATGCACTCTACATGGGGCTGCCTTTGAAGAGTCTTCGGAAGCTTCAACTGGTCCAGTATGCGTCTGCTCAAGTTTTAACTAACACTCTTTACACAGAGTACTTTATGCCAGTGCTCCAGCAGCTGCACTGGCTTCCAGTATGTTTCTGGGCACAATTCAAGGTCTTGGTTATGACTTATAAAGCCCTAAATGGGTTCTGGCTAGGATATTTGAAGGACCATCTCCTCCTATACGAACCTGCCTGGGGATTGGAGATTGAGGTCAGCTGGGGAGGCTCTGCTCAGTGTTCCTCCACATATGAAGATAAGGTTCACATCTACACAGAGCAGGGCCTTCTCAGCCTTTGCCCTTAGGCTATGGAATTCTCTCCCCCAGAACATTCACCTGGCGCCAACGTTGACACGGTTTTGACGCCAGGCCAAGGCTACCCTTTTTACCCATGCTTTTATTGGTGTTTAGTTGTGTGTGTGTGAGAGAGATGTTTTAGCAGGTTGTATGTTCCCTCACACTTTGGGGTCCTATACTTTACTTTATATATACTTATTCATTGTGTTCTTAAAAATTTTGTAAGCCGCCTCGAATATTTCAAACAGAGAAGTGGGGTAAAAATATTTTAAATAAATACATAAATGTATAGCTGTTTGTAGTCTTCTTCTAAAACTAATTATTAATTTTTTTCTATAAAGGTTGGTGAAAATCAGGCTCAGGAACATTGCAAAAATGTTTTAGTAGCTAAGTGTTCCAAAGAAGCCCAGAAGAGAAATTGGTCTGAGTCTGAAAAACATGTAAGTTTTAAAGTTGCATGCAGATTAGAAAGCAAAAGGATCTGTAATTGTATTTTGTACATTTGGTGATAAGAATTAAATATTTCTAAATGGAAAATAAAATACACAATATAGAATAGGTCTGGTGATTTTTCAAGGTACTGTTTATCACTATATCACAGTAGTCACCAACCAGTAGATCGGGATCTACCGGTAGATCTTGGTGCCTCTGAGAGGGGATCCTGACTGGTTTGGCTGGGAGGCTATCAAGCGCAGCACTTCAGCTGCCCTTCCTACCACTGCCTAGCTGCTCCTGCCCAGAGCCTCAGAACTGCCCTTGGGAGCTTCCTGCTTGTTGTGCAGGGTGGGGGAGACAGAGGCAAGGGGGCACTGATGTCTCTCTGTCCCCCTCCCCTGTACCCCATATTCAAAGAGTGAGGAGGGTGGGACCTCAAAGGGGTGGAGCAGGGGTGTTTGGGTTTGAGGTAGATCCTGCTCTGACTTAAATTCAAAAAGTGATCTTGTGCTTAAAAAGATTGGAGACCACTGCTATGTCAGTTTTAAATTAGCATTCTCTAATCCCAATCCCAAAATGTTACTTAGTATTTTTTATTATTTGGTATACAAAATAAAGGGAGATTAGATTGTTTACATAGTTGCTAAAGGTTGAACTTCTCTATTCTGGCACACTGTCTTCTGGCAACATCCGTGGTCTGGCATGATTTTAGTTAGCCACATGTTCACTTATCATGGGTGTGGCCAAGTTTCCTATGGTCTCAAAGTTTGTTTACAGCCACCAGTCCCGGCTCTCTGTATTCTGTGCTGTTATTTAGTTCTAATTTACCCCTAAGGGCATGTCTACACTAGGAAATTATTTCAGAATAACTGAATTCAAAATAATAACTCCCAAAATAACATAATTGAAATACTGAAAATAACTGTTTTGAAATAAGTGTTATTTTCCAAAGAAAGCAGGAGTACAGATTTTGAAATAACTAGCCCATTATTTTGAAATGACGGGCTTGGTAGTGTGGACACTCTGCTTATTATTTCGAAATAAGGGGGGTTTATTTTTAAATAACTCCTTAGTGTAGACCGAGGCTAAATGTCTTCAAAGAGTCCAGTAAGCAATGGAAGTGCAGGAGTAACTTCGTTTAAATATTGAAAACCAATATAAGTGTAATAAGAATCAAACCCTGTAGCTGCGTCTAGACTGGCAAGTTTTTCCGCAAAAGCGCCTTTTCCCGAAAAAACTTCCCCTGCATCCAGACTCAAGCCGCGTTCTTTCGAAATTATTTCGAAAGAACGCGGCTTTTCTTTCGATGGCGGTAAACCTCGTTTCACGAGGAAGAACGCCTTCCTTCGAAAGTTCCTCTTTCGAAGGAAGGCGTTCTTCAATGTAAAGAGGCCGTCTTCGAAAGAGAGCATCCAGACTCGCTGGGTGCTCTCTTTCGAAAAAGCGGATTTCTCTTTCGAAAGATCCGCCTGCAGTCTAGACGCGATCTTTCGAAAGAGGCTCTTTCGAAAGCATCTTTCGAAAGAGCCTCTTTCGAAAGAAGCCTGCAGTCTAGACATAGCCCTAGAGTGGAGCACCTACGGGGCACATTTCGAAGAACAACCGTTATTTCACAGGGTGAGTAGCTTCTTTTTTTCACTAGCAGTAGTCAGCTGGACCGCACATGCGTGGTGGGCGCCTCGTGCAGTTCGTGCCCTTCTGCTCACACACGTGGTCTGGCTTCCATGAGTTCCTTCTTTGTCACCCTCACTTGCAGACAGAGAGAGCTCTTCTCCTCAGGAATTCTAGTCAGAAATAAAAATTGGGTTGTTAGTTAGTAATTTCCTAGTGTTATGGTTTTTCCAGTTAATTTGTTATAGTAGTCACAGAATTAAGTAGTTTGTTGTTCCATTTATTTAAAAAAAAAAGAAAAGGAAGAAAAGAGATAAAATAAGAGAAAAAGAAGAGATGCCAGGCTCTCTGGGCTTCAAAAAGTGTGACACTTGTTGCGAGCCCATGCTGACGTCCAACAGATACTCCACCTGAATAAAGTGCCTCAGAAATGTTCTCACTGCTCCAAGCTGATGGCAAGAGTGTGCCAAGATAGGGAGATGTGATTGCATATGCTCCTATTTGAAAAAGCTCTTCAACTGTCAGACACTGCACTATCCACTGCCTGATCAGACCCTGTCAGGAGTGAAAAGTGAAGAGCCACTTCCCCGATGCACCCCACTAAGAAATGGGCTTTGCCGGTGTGCTTTCTTCCACCGACTTCGACAAGTTGAGTTAGCACTGGGGACAAACCTGAAACATCTGGCACCACAGTCTTGCAGTCTAAGGCTGCCCTGGAACTGAAAGTGCAGCTATAAATTAATGGAGATTGCCTGTCTCCTAGAACTGGAAAGGACCTTCAAGGTCCCCAAGTCCAGTCCCCTGCCTTCACAGCAGGACCAAGTACTATCCCTGACAATTTTTGCCCCAAATGGCCTCCGCAAGGATTGAACTCACAACCCTGGATTTAGCAGGCCAATGCTCAAACCACTGAATGTGCTATCCCTCCCTTGAAAAGCTCAGAACATCATCGGTGCCGACAGTGAAGACATCATCTAATCATTTGGCACCAGCATCACCAACTCCAGCACCACAAACATCGGCACCAACAAAGATGCCAGCATCAACCTCCATGCCAACTCAGACAGACAGAGCAGAACCTACAGCCCAACTCTCTTACCCTGGTGCCAGATGCACCAGTCAAGTCAAGGGTAGGGACAGTAGAGTGCCCTGGTGCATCTCTCGGCACCAAGGTGGTGCGTATCGGTGTAGGTGCCGCAGTATGGGCTCTGCCCACTGATTTTGTGGCGGTGGCCCCTGATGTTCCCGATCTCTCTCCTCCGCTAATTTTTGGGGAGGGAGAAGAGCAAACTGGAGAAGCTCTCTTCTTTGTGGCTTTCCTGGGGGACAGGGAGGTAGCTCTTCTTCAGGTAGTGTCCCCATGGGTGCGCCACTGTGGGTGTCGAGCTCGTCCCAGTGCTGCAGTTCGGAGATCTTTCAACCGTTGTCTGCCAGACCGCGCATGCACGGTGGTCATCTTACGGCTTTTCACGCCGTTTCTGGTCACGCAGTCCGGCTCCCACCAGTTCTTCCTGACCGTCTTCGGGCACAGATGGAGAAACTGCTCCCTCTCGCGTTGATCCTGTCAGGACTGAGAGAGGAGAATTTGTATATAGTTAAATAGTTATGTTTATAGTTAATGTTTTTAGTAGTTAGATTCTAGTTAGCTAGCGCATTTAAAAAACAACAAAAAGAAAACCAATATTTTCCTGTTTCTCTTCATCATGCCTGGATCACCAGGATTCAAAAAATGCCTGACGTGCCGGGAGTCAGTGCCCGCGTCAGATGGGCACTTTTCTTGTACTGTATAAAGTGCCTTGGGGAGGGACACATTCCACAAAAGTGCTCACACTGCACAAAACTGATGGCCAGGGCATGCCACGACCAAGAGATGCGACTCAAGATGCTCTTGTTCAACAAGGCATTTCAATCGCAGGCAGAAACTGCAGCTCAACCACCATCTCTCCCTGATACAGCTCGTCATCCTTCCCCTAAGGCCTTCTCCTAAGGCGACAAGCTCAGAAAGGAGCCGATCGCCATCTCGCTCCTTTCCAGCACTCAGAGTGAGCACAGGAGATAAGCCGGGGCACCTCTGGGACAACGGCAGCCCGAAAGCTGCACAAAGACAAACTGGTGCACAATACATCAGCACCGAGTCCAGCGGAGCACTTGGCATCGAGACCAAAGTCGGCCCCTGTCCCACTTTCCTCCGACCTACCGTCACTGGCAACAGAGACCATATCGGTGCAATCTGCTCCTCATTCCCAAGCACCGATGACCTTGGCGCCAGGGCGCACCGTACTGACACACAGAGCTACAGTTCCACTGGCACCGATGCCTAAGGCACCGACGTAGTCGGCACCGACACACTTGGTACCGGAACCATCAGCACTAGCGCAGCACTCTTTAACACCTCCATACTCGCGCCAGATTTCAACACCTAGTGCAACACCACCAACGCCTCTCCTGCAACACTCCCCTTCTTCCACTGACGGAGGAGTAGCCGCGTAGCCGCGAGCCCCCAACAAAGGGCTTTCTCCCCCGAACACCCTTCTCTACTTTCAACTCGGCATGAGTCCATACGGCTCCAACCTAGTGTCTTGCCTTGACCAAGACACTACTACCACTGATATTATCACACGCCGTCTCCTTGCTGCTCTAGGTATAGATCCAGATCCCCAAGGTCTCCCTCATATTCCAGGAGTTCTAGATACAGAGACAACCACAGGCGCAGATACCAACCTTTTTACGAGGATCGTTACTTTAGTACCATACCCATCAAGAGCAATATTCCCACTCAGTTCGCACCTCACCTTCACCAGCTCCGTCATTCACAACTCGTGACAAGAGCCGATCCCCCACTTTGCAATCAGCCAGACCACCTACTCTATCCGATCATCAACCACCAACAGAACAGCCTACCAAAGAAGTAGAGCACACGTCTGACATGGAAGCGTCACATCATAGGTCCCCTACGGACGAGGCATCTTCTTCACCATATGATGCCATCCTCACTCGAGACACCTCACCGTCAGATGACCTGAAGGAATTCCAGGAGTTATTCAGGAGTTATCCATACTTGAAATTGCCAACGGCATATAGCAGACTCCTGCCACAGTGCTGCCGACCAATAAAAAGGTCAACAAAAAGTATTTCGTCCCAGCTAGTGGGATGGAATTCTTATTCAACCATCCCCAGCCTAACTCCTTGGTCATCGACGCAACTCAACAACAGGCTAAAGCCTCTCATTACAGAACCAACACTGGAGATAAGGACAACAAGCGCCTAGACCTCTTGGGCAGAAAGGTATACTCCTGGGCCATGCTAACGCTCCGAATGGCCAATTACGCAGCACTGTTAGCAAATCACAACTTCAACAATTATGCGAAGTTATTTCCCCTACTCGACCAACATCCAGATACTAAGCAACAGCTGCTGACAGCCATTATTCAAGAGGGCTATACCGTCTCTCAGTCAGTGCTTCACATTGCTCTGGATGCGGCAGCGAGGACGACGGCAACATCTGTCGTAATGCGCAGGGCCTCATGGCTCCACATGTCAGCGGTTCTAAAGGAGCTGCAATCTAAAGTTGAAGACTTGCCCTTCGACAGACAAGGCCTCTTCACAGATAAGACAGACCAGCTGCTTCACTCTGGCAAAGATTCGCACACTATGCTCAGGACTCTGGGCAAGTATACGCCGCCATATCGGCAAAAAAAGTACACGCCATATCAGAAGCAAAGACCTCACTCTTATGCACAACCATGACAATATGAGCTCCAGCAACCTAGGCACTGGCCTCAAAGACGACAGCCACAAGCCGCCAGACCAACAAATCAACAACAAACTAAACAGCAAGTTTGACGCGTGGATCGAGGGATTGCAAGCCATTCAAATACTGCCTGCCTCGAATGCTAGTACTACACTTTTCCACCATCGTTTAAGGCCCTTTCACCATCACTGGGCTGCAATAACAACAGACGAATGGGTCATGCAGCTAATAACAATGGGCTACGTAATTCCCTTCATGTCCCTTCCCCCACCACCCCTCCTCTCCCGTCCCTCTTCAGGGACCCATCTCACAAACTTCTCCTCAAACAGGAGGTAGCTCACTTGCTTGATATTGGAGCAATAGAGAGGGTACCAAATACTTGTCGAGTGGCCATGTAGTCTTCCAGCACTACATTTGTGAAGCACTATGCAATTGTACAATACCTTGTGACAGACTCCTCTGTAGCCACTGCTGTTCTTTCAGGCCAGAACAGACCATGATTCTGGGGCCCACCAACCGGACAAGCTGGATACAACTCCGGAGTCACCTATAGTGGAGCACCCACGGGGACACTACTCGAAGAAGAAGTTACTCACCTCGATGCAGTAACGATGGTTCTTCGAGATGTGTGTCCCCATGAGCGCTCTAGTACCCTCCCGCCTCCCTACTTTGGAATCTTGTGTTCAATTTCTCATTTTAGATGACTCCAAACAGGTGAGAGGAACTGGCGGGAGCTGGACCGCACGATGATAAAGGGGCACAAATGGCGCGAGACACTGCCACGCATGCGCTGTCCGGCTAACTATGGCTTTTGAAAATCTCTGGCCTGTGGCGCCAGGACAAGCCCAAACCTACAGTGGAGCACCTATGGGGGGACACATCTTGAAGAACCATCATTACTGCACCAAAGTGAGTAACTTCTTCTTCTGCAACCTTACCATCTATGTTCCTTCTTACATGCATGGGAAAACATCACATCAGATCAATGGGTCCAGTCCAGGTACTCAAACTTTTTATATTTGCTCCTCCAACCCATTCCCCTTCCCTCTTCAGGGACCCTTCCCATGGTAACCTACTAGGTCTGAAGATTCAACATCTCCAGATTGGAGCGGCTGAATGTGTACCAACTTGTCATCATGGGAGAGGGTTCTATTATAGCTGTTTCCTCACCCAGAAAAAACAACAGAGGATGGAGACCTATATTAGAGCTCAAGATACTCAAGAGATTCATCTGTGAACCAACACCCCTTTGGGACCTCAACCTTGTACTCAAAAGTCTCACAAGACTTCCCTTCAAGCATCTCACCACATGCTCCCTCCTTCATATTTCAGTGAACATTGCCTTTCTTGTAGCCATAGCATCAGCAAGGCAGATAGGTGAAATAGTGGCCCTTATGGCAGACCCACTCTTCACCATATTCACAAGGGACAAAGTTACGTTATGTCCCCATCCTAAGTTTCTACCTAAAGTTGCATTCATTTTGCATATCGACCAACCCATCCATTTTCCCATTTTTTTCCCAAAACCTCTTGAGGACAACTTGCTGGACGTGAGATGAGCCATTACCTTTTATACTAACAGGGCCCGTCCCTTCTGCAGGTCCCTGTGGCTTTTCCTGTCCATTGCTGAATGGTCCAAGGGAAAGTAAGGCAATTACTTTCCAATGCCTATCCAAATGGATATCTTCCTGTATACACATTTACTACACCTTGCATAACAAATAAACTCAACGCATAACGGCCCACTCTTCTAGGGTCATGGCTACCTCCACAGCCTTCTTAAAAGATGTACCCCTACCAGACATTTGCAGAGCAGCAACCTGGTCCTCCGACCATACATTTGCTAAACACTATGCTATAACAACTGCCCAATTCCTGTAATCACTGTAGGACAGGCTGTCCTCTCATTTTTTCTACAACCATGTGTCCAAAGCCTCCCTCAAGCAGGACACTGCTCTACAGATACCTAAAGTGGAGCACCCACAGGGACAGCACTAAAAGAAGAAGTTACTCGCTTTTTGCAATAATGATGGTTCTTTGAGATGTGTGTCCCTGTGGGTGCTCCACTACCCTCCCACCTCTCCTCTACTTTGGAGTCGAATTCCTTGATTCCATGGTAGAGAAGGAACAGGGGAGGGTCATGCTGCGTGTTACCACAAGGCAGCTGCTACTAAGAAAATTCTCCTATTGGCCGGTGTGAGGTCGCACCAACACCTGAAGTGGAGCAGCCACAGGGACACACATATCAAAGAACCATTGTTACTACACAAGATGAGTAACCTTTTCAGATTCATTGAACAGTTCCTTCTAGTTCATGTAGTTGATTCTTGTTATAAAGTTAATTTTTCATGTTAAGATACCTAACACAACTGAAAGAGCTATTGTTTGTGAAATACAGGGACCTGTAATGCAGTCTGTATTTTCTCTTGGTAGGTTCATCAATATACACTCTCTTCTAGTCAAGATTCACTGCCAAAAAGGAGAAAATTTAGTGAACCAAAGGAGCAGTTTTAGATATAATCTCGCTGCTGTTTATTTATGGATTTCTTCGTAATATAGCTTTCATTTCGTGTTTAATATGAATATTGTTAATATTAAAGATTTTTTTTTGTTTTCATACGCAGTCAAAACACAAAAATTATACACAAGAAAAATTCTGTCAAGACAGACCCCAATTTTTGCAAATTGAAAGTTATTTTTTAAAGGGGATTATATTCCAGTTTAGGATATACAGTGCATATCCATTCATCTGGTCTGACAAAAACTTTTTAAGAAAGAAGATTTTTAGTGAATGCCTTCAATAACAGTTTTCCTTTTGAGATTTTGCTGAAATCCTAATGGTGGTACAATGTAATGTACACCATTGAAACTGAAACTGTAAAGTTTCCACTTGTGTCTTTTTCTGGACTATGCTCAGTTTTGGTAGAATTACATGTCAGGAAATGGGTTAAGAAAATTCTATAGTTATTTTATAATAGTACTATTGCTTCTAATTTTATTACCTCTAAGAAGCAAATTTCAGGTTGCCTGTTTGTGTTCATTTATCCCATTGGCACCTTACCCAACTTTGAAAAAGAAAAGAACAGCATTTACCTCTTTAGTTCCTAAATTTACATTGAAATGTAGAAATCCATATGCAGCTCTGATGCCAGATACACAAACAGCTAACATTTGTTATAATATTGTGTCTGCAAGGCAGCTATGTAACAGGATATAACTAAATATCTGAAAAATAGACAGTTCAACTTTTATATGCAATGATTAATTGCAACTATCAGAAACAGTACCATTGCATGTTGTTCAAAAAATATTTTTGCCTTCATAAATTTAAATGAACTAGAATAGTGCTCTTTATAAATATAGGTAATGACTACTGCTGTATGAAGGTGAATAGTTAAACATTTCTTTCTTGAATTTTAACTTTTAAACTAAGAATACCTTATTGTCCTACTTCCTAATGAAAACAGTGTTATATAATAATTTACTACAATGTATTTAAAAATATAATGGTCCATAAATTTGATTTGATGATAGACTTTTTTAATGAAAAGTTCATAAAGGCTGAGGAACTGCACTTGATGTGTCTTCAGTGTTTTAGTGTCTCCCACTTTCACGGTTCAAATAAAATATTAACTATTGACAAACAAATTCCTTCCTGTATAGTGCTGTTTACTTTTTATTTTGAGAGAAAAAAAATACAGGATCTGAATGTCTTTGAAAACAATTTAATGGACAGTAATTGTAAAAATATTGTTTTATAGATTTTGCAAAATGCTATAGAATGATGCAATATGATTTCAGTAATTATTTGGATTCTGAAAGAAACAGAGAAAAAAAACAGACACACATCCTGCTTCCTTCCCTATTATCCCATTTCTCCTGTGTTCTACTCCCTGGTTCAGACTTTACCTGTCACATCTCAGGAATTCTGCTGTGCTGATCAGACCTAGACTGCAGTTTCAAAGGAGAACCTCTACTTAGGCATCTTCAGCTTGGATTTTTGCTTTAATATTCTAGCATAAATATTACCCACTAAGCCTTATTTGTTTCAATCTGAGCAATTTGTATGCACAGATGAACACACATTCTCCTTTGAGAGATGTCCCTGTGAGTGCACCCCAGCACCTTCGGAGATTCTTACAGCAGTAGCTTTCCCTCCTCCCCTCCTGGAGCATACACACACTCTGCCTGCCTCGTGAGCTGTACCACGAGGTGTACCGGTAGTTCAGAATAGGAATCCTAGTCCGAACCCCATGTAGCCGCGCTACACGGGGTTCGAACCAGCGGGGATTTAAAAATGGCGGCTCCCCGCTTATGCAAATGAAGCCCGGGAAATTCAAATCCCGGGCTTCATTTGCAAGTGCGGTATGCCTACATTACCCTCCTAGTTCGAACTAGGAGGGTAGTGTAGACACACCCTCTGTCAGTGCCCCTTTCAAAAGGTGCTGCTCCCGAGGGCTTTCAGCTGCTTGCCTCTTGCAATGCACCCACAGTCACTTTAAAAGGCCCGGTGCCAACCACAGGCTCAGTGCGGCCTATCCGAACAGTGGGAGTGGCGCTTGCCTTTGATCCTGTGGCCCCATTTTAGCCTTTGATGACGCCAACACTGCGCACCCGCTCAGTGCTGCAGCAACACACCGCTCACAGGGCACGGACCCTCTCCTTAGCTTCTATGCTGCCAGTGCCACCACAGCAAGGCACCACTGTCCCACTCTGCACCAGAACACACAATGCAGTTTGATTCTAGTCAGCAACAGTTCCTCAGCCCTGCTGACCTCCCACTCTGCAGGATTTCCTCTCCTAAAGGGAGATTTCTTACCAGAGCAACAACCACAATATTGTCAGTCCCCTTATGATACCTCCCTACCTTTCTAGCGAGGAGGAAGAGGACTAGGAGAACTGATTTTTCTCCACATTATTACTCACCAGAATATTGAGACCCACACAGGTAAAATAAATCTGCCAAACAACACCCATCATATGCCCTGCCTGGATGGCACCACCCATGGCATTCCCTGGCTTACTGGCCATACTGGGGCACATGGGACTTATTATAGAGCAGGATATGATAACCGGCAAGTTCACAAATCTCCCCTGCCAACTCCTCAAGCAGAGGCGGATTTTAATACTGACCCTAAATCGGACATACAAACACAGGTTGCAGGGGACACCTCTCCCATAGCCACTAAAGCACCTCCTTTACCACAGTATGCAAAACTATCAACTATACCAAAGACAACAATACCCCTATTAATCACATCAAGCACAGCATTGACAATATAATACCAACAGACCCAGAGCCCAAAGAGGCTGCCCACCATCATATGGAACAACCAAACCTGTAACCTCCAATAAACAAATTTGAGGCATCAGTCAAGAGTACTGAAAGCAATCTATCCTCCTCAGTGCTTATAGTGACCATCCCATGTTTCACTGAAACAAGTCCAGCCTCCTGACTCCATCAGAGCGCATTCTACACACTCTGTCTCCACGTCCAGTTTTCTTATGCAATGTTCCCCTTCTCAACATATGTAAGTCAGCCACAAGACACTGCAGCTACCACCAGAATGGGTAGAGCTGTTTTATACATAGCCTTCCTGCCCAATCCAAAGCCCCTACCATCCTAAGGGACACTACTTACAGTCACCTGAGTAGAGCACCCACAGGGGCATCTTGAACGAGAAGAGGTTACTCGCTTGTGCAGTAATTCTTCAAGATGAGCATCCCTGTGGGCATGGGCCATTGGTGAAGATAGGGCTGGAGGAGGCAAGCCTCCAGCCCCACCCCTTCTGAGACTCCACACCTTCCCCATCCCCACATGGAGGTGGGGCTGCATGCACGCCCCACCCAAACTACAAGGAGGGGAGTGGGCGGGCACATGCTCACCCAGCTCCGGGGCACTGGTGGAGGGAGGAGGGCATGCCGCACAGCCCAGCTCCGGAGCACTATATCCGCCAATACAGGGCTATTCTGTCTTCACTTACCCATCCATCAAGAGATTCCTCCAGGGCCTACACAATATGTTTCCACCATGAAGATACCCAATTCCAGCCTGGAGCCTCAACCTCATTCTCGGGGCACTCATAGATGAGCCCTATGTTCCCTTCTACATCTATCAACGAAGGTAGTCTTTTTAGTTGCAATTACCTCTGCAAGAAGGGTGGATGAGCTAGGAGCAGTAATGACCCACCGTACACAATATTTCATGAGGACAAAGTCATCCTCCATATTTACCCCAAATTTCTCCCAAAAGTACTTACCTCATTCCACTGTAATGAACCCATATACTTACCTGTCTCCTTCCCTAAACCTCACAAGGACCACAGAGAAAGGGTGTTACACACCCTTGATGTTTGTTGGGCAGTTGCCTTCTACTTAGAATGTAGAGAACCCTTTCGCAAATCTTTGCAACTCTTTATGTTATCAACAGAGAGACCAGAGGGTTACCTGTGTCCAAACAAAGACTGTCTAAATGGATCTTGGGCTGCACACATCTAGTTTACAACATTTTCTAAAAGGAGCCCCTGGCAAGTGTACGGGCTCACTCCACGAGAGCAATGGCAGCATCAACAGCCTTCCTCAGCAGCATACAAACAGAAGAAATCTGTAAGTCTGTCATATAGGGTTCAGCACACACTTTCACACAGCACTATGCCATCCAGTCGTTTGTGGATGCTGATACACATTTCAGCCAGGCAATACTGGCAGTTACTGAGTCAAATTCACTGAAGCGCCCACCACCAAGCATGACCACTGCTTTGTAATCATCTCAAGGTGGAGCACCCATGGGGGCACTCCTCGAAGAAGAAGGGAAGGTTACACACCTGGTGTAGTAACTGGAGTTCTTTGAGATGGATGTCCCCGTCGGTGCTCCACTACCCACTCTCCTCCCCTCTGCTTTAGATCCAACTACCTCCAGGTCAGAGAAAGAACTGAGGAGGCGGTTGGCTGTGCATGAGGGATAGCCATTTCAAAGGTCGCTCACCAGCATTGTGTGTGCACAGCCAACCTGGCGGGGGAGGCACTGCTGTCAAAAATCTTTGATTAGAGAAGCAGCAGTGCTGGCACACCTCAAGATGGAGCACCTACAGGAACAACCTTCTGGAAGAACTCCGGTTACTGCACCGGGTGAGTAACCTTCCCTTCTGGATGGCCCCACACAGTTTCCTTTCGGGGAGAGGGTAGGACTTTGTGTCTCTGAAACAGGACTCTCCTGTATGGTTTGTTGTCTGGGAATAGCCCTAGCTGGGTCTCAGCTATCCTCTACCACTCTGAGGTATGCCATCACACAGTTTACCCAAAGCTGTCCTTTCTTCAAGCATAAAAAGTGTGAGAGAGCGCTCCCAGAGAGTGAAACATTCAGTCCTTAAATTCTTCCTCCCCATACTGTCCTCAGATCTCTAATAGGCTCGGAAAGTGGAATTCTCCAAGTTCCTACATATAATCACACACCAGTGCCCCCTCCTAGAAAACATTTCTAGTTAAAAAAAAAATTGCCTCCAGGGTTTTTGTGCTGCCTTCCACCCGGTTTCTGAGTGTCTTTCATACATCCCATTCAATTGGGGTACGAGGCTGTATGTGGAGTCCAGAATGATTTCAGTGCTTTCACATTTTAAGGAGATCGGATTGTTCATGGCTTTAGGGTGTAAACCAATAGTTTGGAAGACTCCACACCTTCCCCATCCCCACATGGAGGTGGGGCTGCATGCACGCCCCACCCAAACTACAAGGAGGGGAGTGGGCGGGCACATGCTCACCCAGCTCCGGGGCACTGGTGGAGGGAGGAGGGCATGCCGCACAGCCCAGCTCCGGAGCACTATATCCGCCAATACAGGGCTATTCTGTCTTCACTTACCCATCCATCAAGAGATTCCTCCAGGGCCTACACAATATGTTTCCACCATGAAGATACCCAATTCCAGCCTGGAGCCTCAACCTCATTCTCGGGGCACTCATAGATGAGCCCTATGTTCCCTTCTACATCTATCAACGAAGGTAGTCTTTTTAGTTGCAATTACCTCTGCAAGAAGGGTGGATGAGCTAGGAGCAGTAATGACCCACCGTACACAATATTTCATGAGGACAAAGTCATCCTCCATATTTACCCCAAATTTCTCCCAAAAGTACTTACCTCATTCCACTGTAATGAACCCATATACTTACCTGTCTCCTTCCCTAAACCTCACAAGGACCACAGAGAAAGGGTGTTACACACCCTTGATGTTTGTTGGGCAGTTGCCTTCTACTTAGAATGTAGAGAACCCTTTCGCAAATCTTTGCAACTCTTTATGTTATCAACAGAGAGACCAGAGGGTTACCTGTGTCCAAACAAAGACTGTCTAAATGGATCTTGGGCTGCACACATCTAGTTTACAACATTTTCTAAAAGGAGCCCCTGGCAAGTGTACGGGCTCACTCCACGAGAGCAATGGCAGCATCAACAGCCTTCCTCAGCAGCATACAAACAGAAGAAATCTGTAAGTCTGTCATATAGGGTTCAGCACACACTTTCACACAGCACTATGCCATCCAGTCGTTTGTGGATGCTGATACACATTTCAGCCAGGCAATACTGGCAGTTACTGAGTCAAATTCACTGAAGCGCCCACCACCAAGCATGACCACTGCTTTGTAATCATCTCAAGGTG